TGCCCCGGAGGTGGGACTTCCTGTCATAGCCCGGTTGCCTAGTTACTCACGCCGACGTCATTTCCCTATGCCTCCACTATATATACACCCAGCACCTCCCCTAAATAAACGGGACTTGATCAGAATCCTGTCTTGTCCTCATTTCTCGTGTCTCCTGTCTTTTATCCCCTCTTCAATTCCCCGCTCCTCCCCCAGGTGACCTTCATTGACTGACCGCCTGGTTCGGGACACAAGGGGACATCACAATCCCTGACTTAAAATTATACTACAATTACTGAGATACAATCAGCATGGTATTGGCAAACCAAGACCTGATGATCCATGTAACAGATTAAAAGATGCAGACACAACAGCCACACTCAGCCACCTTATTTTTGACAAAGGAGAAAAACACCTTCACTGGAAGAATGACAGCCTCCTTAATAAATAGTGCTGGAAAAACTGGCTTTCCACATGCCAAGGATTAAAATTGGAACCATAACTTTCACCATACACTAAATTAAATTTAAAATGGATGAAAGTTCTAAATATTAAACCAGGAACACTAAATCTGCTGGAAGATAAAGTAAGTAGAACTTCTGAAGGCACTGGTGTAGGCGAAGACTTCGTGAACAAAACCCCCATCGCACAGGAACTATCACAATCCACAACTGGGATTTCATCTTATTAAAAAGCATTTGTGGGGCCGGGGAGATGGCTCAGTAGAATAAGCGCTTGCCTGGCAAGCCCAAGTGTCTGAGTTCAATAAAAAAAAAGCATTTGTACAGCAAAAGAAACCATCAGCAGAGTGAAGAGACAACACACAGTGTTGGAAAAATTTTTTTGCCAACTATTCCTCGACGAACCAATATCAGAATATATAAAGAATGCAAAAAAGCCAGACCTTCCAAATTTAAAGACCCAGTCCAAATATAGCCTTCAGAGATGAACAGATATTTCTTAGATATAGAAGTAAAAATTTCAAATAAAGTAGAAACAGCAAATAGACGTATGAAAAACTGTTCAAAATCATTGGTTATCTGAAAAGTACAAACTGAAGCAGTGCTGCAATTCCATCTTGCCCCAGAAAGAAAGGCTATGATCAGAAAATCAACCGAAAACAAATGCTGTGGGGCTGTGGAGAAAAAGAAACCCTTCTCCACGGTTGTAGGGAGTGAAAATTGGTGCAACCACCTTGAAAATCAATGTGGAGATTCCTCAAAAAACCAGGGCTAGAAGTTCCATTTGATCCAGCTAGTCCCCTTCCAAGTGTCTGCCTGGAATAACTAGAAGCATCCCACCACAGTGACTTATGCACGCCCATGTTTACAGCGGCACAGTTTTTATTAGCTTGATCATGGAAATAGCCCAAATGTCCTTAAACTGATGAACGGATAAAGAAAATGTGGTTGTTTTCTACATGGAGTACTACTCTGCCATAAGGAAGGTTAATCTGGAGACATTTCAAGCTATGGGATACACCCCGAGACCATATTCTTAAGTGAAATAAATTTGACACGTGTAAATACCATGTTGCTTCTCTGGTGTTAGAAACCAAAAAGGTAAGTAAGGACCAAAATGTACGACAGGTATTGTGAAATGGGAGGAAAGTGCTCAAACGAGTAGGGGAACAAGCTTCTACACAGCCTAGTAATTCCTCTCCTAGTACACATCCAAAAGAAACAAAGACATCTATCTACAGAGAAACTTGTATACGAATGTCCATGATGTCATTGGTCATGATAACCAAAAACTTCAAATAACCCAATGTTCATTTAACCAGTGAACACCTACACAAATATGGAATATCAACATAATGGAGTATTACCCAACTCCAAAGGAACACCGGCACATGCTACACAGCACAGCCCAACTATGAAGACCGCAGAAATCAAAGAAGCCAATCATAAAGGGCTACATAGTGTACAAATCCATTTATACAGAGTCTCCAAAACAAGAATATGCACAGGGACAGAATTAGATTAATGTGAATATGAGTGGGGGGGGTGACTGCTGATGGGTACATGTTTCTTGTGGCTATGACAAAAATATTCTAAAACTGGACAATATAATGGTCACACATTTTGAGAACAGGCTACAAACAATTGAACTATATAATTTAAAGGGATCAATTTTGTAATATGTGACTTCAATTTCACTAACACTATCATTTAAAAAATTCTATAGATTAAAATAACAGAGTTAGGGGATGGGCTAGAATTGAATCATTCATTACCAACACCAGAGGCCAGAAGATAAGTAAGGAACAAAATGTTTGGAAAAATATTTACAGATTAGAATTCTCTATGTCTTGCCAACTATAAGTGAGGTGGAATAAAAACATTTACAGACATTCACATTCTCTATTTTTTTTTTTTTTTTTTTTTTCGCTAGCCATGACCTTTTCTTAAAAGCTTTGGAGGACTTACTTCACAGGAAGAAAGAGGCAGAGGGAGATCCACCATAGGAAATTAACATAATTGGCGAGAAGAGGAAGAGGAGGACCTAGCTAGAATCAGTAGCCAGGTAGCAGGGCTAAGCACAAATCAATACAAAAGACAGGGCTTCAGAAGGAAAAGCTCCAAGGAAAAAACAATCAAAGTTTTAAAATATTGGTTAGGATTGATGTTTTTGTAAGGCGTTTTACACTTTGTTGGTTATACTTGGGGATTCCTTTTTAATAAGTTCATGGAAAACAAAAACATAAGGCACTGGTAGCTGGGCTTAGTGACACACACCTGCCATCCCAGCACTCTGGGAGACTGAAGCGAGAGGATTATACCCGTAGCAGTTGAGACTCTCAAAATAAACATATAAAACCACTGGAGATGGAGCTCAGTGTGAAAGTTCTGGGTTCCTTCCCAATTTACACACACACACACACACACACACACACACACACACACACAATGGGAACTTTAGGAACAACTACAATTACACAAGGGTATAACAGCATTCATAATGGACCATGTGACTTGCTCCCGAATAGTTTGCTGGGCCTCATAATTTAAGGTAATTACTTATTTTTATCAAAAAGTATGAAACTATGGGAAGATGGAACTGAGCATATGGGGTGGTAGGTGAGGACAGGAGAATCAAACCCTTATGTCCTAAAGTAGGAAAGAAACAGAAAATGCTATAAATTGAAAAACCAAAACAATGCCTCTGGGCCCAGAGCTGAACAGGACAGAAGACTTGCTTCCCATTTCGGCAGCCAAGGGGGGAGCGGGGGTTTGCAGGTTGCTGTTCTGCTTTGTTGTATAACCATTCTTTTGCTTTTAAAAGATTTTAATATGATCTACTAATACCCTAAAAGTAGCAAAAGTTGCTCCGCATAGCAAATGAAGGACTAGAAGGCAAGGCAGCAAAATGTCCTATTGCTGGGATCTGGACGTTGTTTGGAGGCTGTGGAAGACGGGAAGGGGGATTCTGAAGGAGTATTCCCTAAACTGCCTACAACACAACCCTTTCTTTTTATTGAAGAAAGACACATGGGCAGCTTGCATGTATCCCTGACTCTTAGCTTAGGTTCTTATTTTAGACAGGCTTGCGGAAGACTTTCTCCCTCCTGCTGCAGACTGGGAGACTTCCTTCTAGATTTTCTGTTAGCTAAGGAAGAGGTGAGAGGTCAGGGGGCCACACAGGACAACAGCACCTGCAAGACAAGCCTTCCCCTGACAGAAATTAAACCCCTGAACCTCAGTCTCCAAAAGTACACTCTGCAGATCTCCTAAGGAACCTTTCCAACCTCTTAAGTCGTATGATCCTTTAAGCTTTTGAGCTCCTATACAGTCATTCTCTTTTGATTCTCCACAATAATCCTGAGATGAGAGAGGTAAGACTGGCACCATTTTAGACATAGGGAAGCTGAAACTCAGGCAGATGTGACCATCGAGCCTTGGGCTAGGATACAAGACTCTGGCTTTCCGATCAGCCCGTGTCAGACTTCGAACTCTAAGGACAGAGGTAGCTACACTCGCAACCTAGTACGAAAGAGTTTTCCTCCCAGCAGAAATACCATTGTGTAACCAAAGAACTTGAGCTCATGAAGCAGGATGTAAGAGTCTTCCATAATCAAGCAAACAGAGTAGTTACAAAGCAGGACATAAGGAGTTTTCCCTGTAGAAATAACCATCATGGGTTTGGCATATGTAACTATGTATGCCTTTATGTTCTGATCAATTATACAAAAGGATAAAGTTATAAACTTGAAAACTAAGAAAAAACATTTCGTATAAGCAGATTACTGCACATGATATTCTTTCCCTTTAAAAAACAACAATATACCGTGTAGCTTTGTACATACGGACATCCTCTGAGTGGCTGCACAGAACTTAACAATGTAACTATGTTTCAGCTGACTCTCCTGGTCCCTCCTGCAAAGAGACACGTGATCCGCTTCACCCGTCCTGGTATTATAAACAGCACTGTGATAAATATCTATGTACTCATATCTCACAATCGTTTTACTTCCCTGGGATATATTCCCAAAATGACAATGTCGAAGCCAAAGGGTATAAATATTAAAACCAAACATGAGCCGGCATGTTGCCTGCAGAAGCCCGTTCAGGCAGCCTGGCCGCCAGTCACCCACGCGTGTGTGCCTCCCAGACTTCTACCTGCAGCATGTACCACTGGGCTTTCCAATCTTTCTCTCCTGACTGCTCACCACCTCCTCCTGTCTTAGTTGCAGTCTGCAGTTCTCTGATCACTTATCTGTCTGGGTATTTTTACTATGTCCTTTTAGCCACATGCTTTTCATTTGTCTCTTTTGATCTTTTCTCATAGTGAAGCAAACGTTTTCCTTGGGCATGCTGAGGAACCTGCCAGTTCTAACCAGTTTGGAATAAGATGTTTGATCAGGGATTAACTTGGGGGGCAGAAGGAGACAGGCAAAGGCATGCACATAAAGACAACCAAGACTGAGGCATGGCTGGACCCATTTTCCAAAACTGCAGTAAGCCACAGGCTTGAGTGGGATGGGAGACACCGGGAGAGAGATGGCATGAGATGGCACCCACCTCCACGAAGGCGAACTTCTCCTCACTGGTGTAGTTGTAGCGCGTGGCTCGCTCGTACTCCTCCGCTGTGCCTGGGCAGTCCTTGTTGCAGAACTTGTCTGTGGGGTGCACCAGCTTCCAAGAGTACTGGGAAGAGGGAACAGTCCAAACACCGAATCAGCTGGTGCGGGCCAGCAAGGTGCCAGGGGTCCGTGCAGCAGAGGAGTGCTCATCCAGGCAGAGGGAAAGGGGCGTGTCTGGGCTATGGCAAGGAACAGCCTTCAACACAGGAGGAACAAGGCAGCCACACACAGAAGTATGTGTGCACACGAATCTGCCTATGTGGCACCTCCAGCAGGGGGCAAGGCTACACAGACAGAAAGTGGGCTGCAGGCATGCTGGGCAATAGGCGCAGTTTCTTTTGGAAATGATGAAAGTGCTCTAAAGTGAAACGCGGTTGTACAACGCTGCAACACTTTTACATAGTGTGATGTGTGAGTCCTGCCTCTGTGAAGCTGTTAAAAAAGAGTGCTGCGGAGAGGTGGAGCAGACAGATTCTTAGCGAACAGGGGTCAGTGGGAGGCCCAGGGCTGGAGGACACTTACCACCTCCATGACGTGGGCACTCCACTTGGACAGGAGCTGCAGGCCCCGCAACGCCAGGTCGAACAGTTCGCGGTACTCCTCGTCCGACTTCTGGCTATCCAGCCCAGATCCAGTCACCACCTTGGGGACACTGAGCGTCACGCTCTCTGCCCACGCGCCTCCACTAAGTTACATCAGCGAGTCCCTCTGAGGACTCTACAGGGAAGTGCAATCATTACATCCCTTTACCAGGTTAACCGGCCTCAGGCAGCGTCCTGCCGAAAGCCATGTGGCTTGTCAATGGCTGAGGGTCACAGATTAGGAGGTGTAGTGCCAGAGCCCCACGCCTAACCACCCTGCGCGTGGGAGTCCAGGCTTTCCAGCTCTTTTCACTGCATTCACAGCAGGAGCACAATGCAGACCAAACCAAAACCGAAGAATGTACTCTTGCACTAAGACAATAAATAGAAATATGCATGCGAGGAACAATGACTTTCACACAACAATCTGTTTTTGTGTGTGGTTTTGGAAGTCGAGCCCAGAGCCATTATTTTATCATTTAGTTTTATCTGCAGCCCTTTTTACTTCTTATTTGGAGACAGATTCTTGCTACATTGAGCAGGCTGGCCTTGACTGTATAACCCTTTGGCCTCGGCCTCCTGGGTAGCTGGAATCGGGTACACCAAGGCATCTGGTGGGATTCCCTTTGATTTTCTACCCTATTTCATATGCAAATCACAAATCACTACATTGATTTCATAACTTCTTTTGTCATGACTCCACCAAGCTCTGATTCAGACCAACCTCTGCCCGTCTGTCTGTCTGTACGGATACATTCTACAAAATGCATCTGCATGTGCACAGACAAGCTACACTGGCCACGTGTCCACGCATGTATCGCCAGTCCTGGTAACGGGCAGATTTGCTTCTACTTGCCAGAAGCAACACTGATTTCTCAGGCACTTGTACCCACGTGCATGTCTCCAGCTAAGGCGGGACAAAAAGACTCGAGGCCTTCTGTGTTAGCTCTCATACTGTAAACAAAAGTCCTTTCTACTCAGTGCCACGCTGGTCACAGTTTTGTGCTGCTCACAGGAGACATCACAAGTGGAAATGACCCCCTAAGCACATGGCTGATGTGCTATCTGTAGGAAACATCCAGAATAGAGACCTACAAGACAGGGCCAATTGCTCGGGGTGGAGGATTGGAGGGGCCCTGCCTGCGACGGAGCTGTCACACCTCCTGGAAACAAACACATGCTTCGGCTTAGATTAGGTTAAGAGTAAGTGCTAATGCTACAGGTTCTGGGTTAATGTGAATGAATTCACAACATGCAGGATAGCCTCTAAGGTCTCTACATAGAAGCACATTAAAAAAATAAAGTTTGCATTTATGTCAGACTCATTTTTATGTTGTTTTGTTTTGAACTTTGCTTTGGGGAAGATGTAACACACGAAGTTGTTCAGTCATGTCGGGCTTGCCTGGGGTGGCCGGGTGACAGTCACAGAGTTGACTGTAGAAACTTGGAAGCTTTAAAAGCAGATGCTGGGAGATTTCTTTTGAAGAATGTCTTTTTTGAACCCTAAAAATTAAGTCACTTTTTCGAGATGAAAAGCTTGTGGATACCTTCAAAACATGTTGTATTTTAAGTGCATCTGTTAAACTTTACAAACTTGAGGTATGTTTTTTTGTGTTAAAATTAATGAAGTTTTATGTATCCCCTTAATCAGTGAAGGACAATCCTGATTTCTGACCTACATCAACCCCCTAGTTTGCTGTAAACAGTACTAGCACATCCGTGAAGCAGGCTGTTACACAGTATTAGAGTCCTTGGATGATACGTGTGGGGGGAAGGTAGTTTCCTATCAAATAAAAGTTAATTTCTTTGAAAAAAAAAAACAAAAGCACATACAGGACAAAACTATGTCTTCTTTGGTTGATGAAAATATTGTGCCGAAGGCTCCACAACTCTGCATTTCCCTCTCAAGACAGTTAAAGATGTGCTAATTCAGAGCTCAGAACCACGCTGTAGAATCCAAGTACTGCGGTACTGACAACTGGCTGCATCTCACAGGCATACAGTGAGCATAGCAGGCCCTCTGGGAATCAACGGGTCACAGAATGCCAGGTAGGAAATACTCAGAGAGTAACACTGCGCCTACACGGAGTACGTGCAGTCCTGTCGCTGCTCTTAGACCACAGGAAAACCTCCCTAGGAACGAAGGCGCATCAGTACTCTCGGAAAGTGCTTTGTGAGGCTCAGCGGGGTGGACCAGTACATTGGTAAGAAGGCTCAGGGCTTAGGCTTGATCTCTTCATGGGAGCCACTAGCATAATGTTCACACTGCCTGCCTCTGTTAAGACTGTGCTCACTTCAAACACAGTGCTCTGGTGTTATGGTTTGTGTCTGGGTGTCCCCCCCAAAGCCTCATGTCATCACAGGGTGGACTTCTAGAAGTAGTGATTAATTCATGATCCAGTGCTGGGATTGTGGGTGTGCTACACCTGCCCTGGGGTGAACAGCCTGAACGCGGTACAAGGGACAGAGAGGCTTGCTCTCTACCACTGCCGCTGCTCTTCCCTGTTCGCTCTTGCTGTGTTACTGTCTCCCGTCACCATGAGCAGCTGCCTCTGCCATGTGCCGCTCTGCCTTGGAGCCAGCTGAGCACGGAGTGCAATCTCCACTAACTGTGAGCTAAATAAACCTTTCCTTCTTTCATTTGGGTGTTGGACATTTCATCCCAGCAATGAGAAAAAAGTAACCGAGACACTATGATAAGTGATATTTCTAAGCGATCACTATCGCTGCTGGCCACGCAGCAGAGTCAGAGAGTAAGAGGTGTGTAGGGTGGGGCGGAGCCATCCAGCGCAAAGGAGCCCGGGGGCCAATGTGTAGCCACCAGGGCGCACATACATTAAAGGTCGGCTACAGGAAGAGACAGAGAATGCATGTTCCCAAATATTATTCTAGGACAGTAGGATTTTTATATCAGATTGTCCCTCCTTCTGCTATCTGTTTTTTCCTGAGGTTGGGGCACTGACCATGTATCCATGTTCCAAAAAGAAAAATGCAATCAAACATTACTATTGAGACTACAGTCAAGGACAGTGGCCCTTTTGTGACCCTGACCCTAACTGCATCTGTAATTTTTTTTTAACCACAATCATTCATTCCTGTGTAATTTTAAAAAAAATATTTAAATGGTGTTAGGAACAAGAGAGTTGAGAACCAGCTCTGTTGTCATCAACGGTGGAGGTGCCTGGGTCCCACACAGGCAGAATTAACTCCTAAGCCCTTAGGATCTACCAGGCACAGTGCCTGTTCTGTGCACATTATTTTGTGTTCTTAACAACCTTTCAGGATAGATATCCCCATTTTTGGGGATTGATACACAGAGATTATACATACTTACAGGGCATGATCTAATTTTTCAATCTACCCATACGGTGTCCAGTGGGCACATGAGGGCAACCAACATACCTAACTCCTCAGATACTAATCATTTCTTTGTGTTTGGGATTATCCAGAAGGTGACTAGCTGTTCTGAAATACTTGCTAGCTGCCATCAGCTATGGTTACCCCACTGTGCAATGGAACACTGAAGGATTTTCCCCCTGTCCAATCCATTAACTGCTGGGTCTTCACTACCCTGGCCCTGTTCCCTTCCCAGGCCTCGGTATTACAGGCACTGTGCAGATGAGGAAACTGAGGCACAAGATGTTGAGTTATCTGCAAAGGACAGTGACACAGCCAGAATCAGTAAGGCCAGGTGAGACACAGCCAGAGCGTCACTTATGCTCCTTGACGGGAAGGTCAACCTTACTACGCTAACATGTTCCGTCTGGCTCTGAAGCCCACACGTGTGGCAAGGCTGCCCTCTGCCGCAGACTGTGTTCCCTCCCCGTCACTCTCCATTATCCCTGTGTTTCTGTCCTTTGCAGACATCCTGTCCCCTCCTGGCCTGGGCGCACCTGGGCCGCTCACCTCACTGTTGCTGTAGCGAGCCAGCTCGGAGATGAAGCGAATGTGGTCGTCCCGGATCTGCACCATCTGCTCGCAGATGTTGTACTGGGGGCTGATGCTGCTCTGCGTGCACGTCCACCTGGAGAGACAGTCGCGCGGTCAGGGGGTCCTACCCCAGCGCCGGCTGCACCAGGTTCCTTCCACTCACTGGGTGTTTCTGGTCCTCGGCCAGTACAGCCGGCTCCCCTGGGTGGAGCCAAAACATATTTCTGCCACCTCAGCACCAGAGCCTGCTGAGCACAGCGCTGGAGACCCTGTCGAGTGCAACAGTTCTTCCTCATCCTCGGGCCCACGGCTCTGCTGAGATCCAATCCCAGGGCTCTCTCGTACCTGTTCCAGTACTTACCAGCTACAGCGGAGGGCTGAGGGTAGGGATCACAGCCTCTCTAGGAACACAAAGGGCTGCAGTCCCAGCTAAGAAAACAATCAAAGTGGCCAACCTGCCCCCACCTGGCTACGCACTCTACACATCGGCGCTCACAGGGGACTCCAGAGGGCCTTAGGGCCCAGACGGGAAGACAAGATGGGCTTGTGTCCCTTTTCCAGCGGTGACCTGGTGTCAAGGATACACCCCACGATGAGAAGGCCACTGCGAGAAGCATCTCGCTCTGCCTGGCCTCTCTCCTCTCCCCTTCCTCTCACCTATTCTACTTTCCCTTCCTCTTTCCTCTCACCCTTCTCCTCAACTCTTTTCTGGAAGACATCATTAGGAAAACCACCCTGAACGGATAAGGAAGTGAATGAAAATCCTCCCTTCTCTTACCCTCTCCCTCTGTCTGGTGCTGGTGACCTGGAAAGGCAGCCGAGCGTAAGCCCTGAACAAGCAGAAAGCAGCTGAGGAGAGCTGGGCGAAGGGTGGACACTCATAATCCCGGGTACGCAGGACACGAGGCAGGATTCCGAGAGTGAGGACAGATTGGGCAGCTTAGCAAGACCATCTCAAGAATAAGTGAACAGGGCTGGAGATGCAGCTCAGTGCCCAGATGCTGGGTTTAACCATCATGTAAAACAAAGTAAAATAAGCTGGGTGTGACAGCTCATGCCTTTAACCCAAGTACTCCGGAGACTGAGGCAGGATTGTTGTGAGTTCAAGACCCACAAGGCCAGCCTGAAGTAAATAGCAAGACCATGTCTCAAGAAAAAAAAAAAAAAAGACAAAACCAAAAATTCAACAAAAAAGCAGGGCCTGAAGCAGTTTTCATACAGAGGCTCAGAACAGTGACAGCCTTCCTCATGCTGAGATTTGGTCTTCTGATGGTCCTTACTTTGCACCACTTCTGGGGTGACAGGCACACTGTCACTTGAGCCCCTCACTCCCTACCTGGTCATAACACAGGCTTCCCTCCCACGAGCTGCGGGTAGCACAAACCTCTCCTATGGTGGCTTTCCTTGGAGACCAAGCAGGTGCCGCTTAAGGACGTTCTGATGGTTTGTTTTCTTCTTTATTTTGGATACTGGGGATTGAGCCCAGAGCCCTACACATGCTAACCAAAAACTTTACCATGGCCCTTTTACAGTTGTGAGACAGGGTCTTGTTAGGTTGTCCAGGCTGGGCTTAAACTTGTGATCCTCCAGCCTCAGCTTCTCAGGTGGCTGCGATGTGGGTGTGTACCCCCACATCCGGGTCACCGGCATCTCACACCACAAATGGGGCAAGACAAACACAGAGAGGTCTCCACACAGCCTTGGGGACCAAAGGCACAGACAAAGCTGGAGCCAGTCCCTCTCCAAACTCTGGGGGCCCACTGACACCTAAGTCCTGGCTCAGTCCCCAGCATGCTGGTTTAGAAAGTGACCTAGGTGAGGCTCTCAACCCCTGCACTGCTAGAGCCATCCAAGCTGTTCACCTAACCACGTACTTACTGCATGGTCACAAACCCTGAGCAGTGAATCAGGGTAATGGAGGACACCACCATCTCTCGCACCTGACCACCAGGGGGAGAAGGGCTCCTGCTGTCCCGCTGAGGGGATGCGAAGGTTACTGCCAAGTCGGATGAGGGACAAGGTGAGGCTCTGAGCCCTTTTGAACCAGGCAGCAAAGGGCAGATACAAAAGGGCTCAGAGCACCCTCTAGCCACTCCCCTCCAGTGGTGGTGGTGGCGGCGGTAGCAGCGGCAGTGTCATTGTGCAGGGAACCTGCTGGCCCAGGCTCTGGGGAGAGGGGAGGGGCTGAAGTGGCCCCTCGGCCCCCTGCCCGGGCTGGGCGTCCTGCGGGAGCCAAGAGACATTACGGCAGGCACTCACTTGGACTTGTTCTCTTCATAGTGAGCACTGGTCTTAATGTATCTGGCCAGCTCTATCTGCATGTCGCCGAAAAGAGGCACCACCTGCAGCTGCTGTAAAGGAAGCAAACAGCGCGTGAGACACAGGCCACGGAAGGCTGGGTGGCCGTCTTCACCGACAGGCCCCCGTGTGCACCTGGGACCGGTATCTCGTCTGCACTTAGCCCTAGCCAGCATACAGGGCCTCTGCTGCCTCCAGCCAACTCCATGTTCTGAGAGACTGAGCCCAGAGAGGCGGAGTAATTTGCCAGAGGTCACACAGCCAGGTAAGCGAACGAAGGCAGCAGAACCCACGGCCGTCCTCTCTGGGCTGGGTCTTCTGTGCTCTATAACTTCCCCAGGTCAGAAATGCTTGCTGCTCCAAACCGTGCTCCAAGTGTAGGTGCCCGCGCATGGCTGCTGGCTAGGGCCTCCACGAAGGCATCATGTCCATGACAGCGATCGAGATGGTGTACCTGACGCCGGAGGGCAGGCACTCCCAATCAAAAACCAGGGCAAATGAGGGGGACTGCAGCTCCTGCACTAGACATCATGCTGAGGACTTTCAAAACCGTCTGGAGCCACACAGTGGCCTATGACATCAGGGCTACCGACACTTGCATTTTAAAAATGATGAAATTGGTGTGAAGGAGGCTCCGTAACTTCCATGTTGGGCCAGCTGGAGTGCAGGGGCTGGGATCCTACCCTGAGGCTCTCACGCACTAATCCCACTGAATCCTCGCAGGCACAAAGAGGATGCTCTGAGCATTTATGGCTTTTCAGACTGGGAGACTCAGTTCCGATCAGATTGCTGCCTTACCCAAAGCCAGCTGCTTTCTACGGTGCACTGCAGGCCTGCCCTGGCCTATCTGTGAAGAGACCGTCTTCCGCCACCCTACCAGCCTCATTCACGCTGAATAAGGCAGATCTGGCGGTGGTGGAGAACCTGAGGCAGGTGTGCCACAGTAGGCTGTTTGTACCGCTGAAAGCCCCAAGAGGTTCACCATCACTGCTCTAAAATGGGCACTGTTTTCATTTGCCATAGTTTCAGAGAAAATTTTAAATTTCCTATTCAAAAAGAGTCCAAGCCAAGCCATGAGACGCCTCCTGGTGACTTCTGCTCCCTATAACCTCAAAGACTTAGTGATATCCAGCCCAGGCCAGAGACCTCCCCTCTGCCCACTCAAGGGGTTTTGTTACTAACATCAAATTCAGTGTCCCTGGGTCTCAGCCTTCAGGCCTGGCTTTGTGTCTCCAGGGTTCAATATTATGCGACACTGGGAACATGAGTTCAATTCTGAGGTACGAAATTCCCTTGTAAAAGTTATGGATGGATCGACTGCAAGTTTGTGCTTTCAAAGATTCGGGGCCTGAAGATGAGACTTCAGAGGCACAGGGACAGATGGAAGGGAGGGTGAGCTGAGGTGACTCTGGCTGGGCTTTGGAAAACGGGGACCCATGTTAAGTGAAGTCTGAAATCCTCCTGTTTCCCTGAGCTCTGGTGCACATGCAAATCAGAGCGAGGATTCACACGGAGGTACC